ATTAAAATATAAATCTTTTTGCACTAATTCATATTTTAAATAACATTATTTTTACTTATATTATCATATTTTATATATTTAAAGAAAATTTTACTCTAAGATATAATTTTAAAAAAAGATCAAATATATGAATTCAAATTATAATATATAATATATAATATATAATAAAAAAACTAGAATTTTTAATTTTCTTTATAAATATTTATTTAAATAACATAAAAATTTACTTGAGAGCATGATAAATAACTTTACTTAAAATTACTTAAATATTTATCTTATTAAAATTTTTTATTATTTATATTTTTAAAATTAAAAATTTTTAATAATAAGAAAACTTAAAAAGATTCTTATAATTAAATTTAATTATTATTTTGCAAATTAATCTTAAATAAATTTATTTGCCAGATTATCAAGTATATATATTTAAAATTTATATAATTTAAATAAATATTCATTATATAACAAACAAAAAAAGATTAAAAAAATATTTTCAAAAAAAAATTAATAAAAAAATTTTAATTATTAAAAAATTTTATAAAGATAAACTATTAAATACTTTAAGTAAACTTGTTCATTATATATATTTAAAATTTTATATATTTAAATAAATATTTATTAAATATAAGTAAAAATAATAATTCCAGTTTTTTTATTACATATTATAGTTATATGTTATTCATAAATAATATTATACTTATTCATATTATCATATTATATTTCATATATAGCAAATAAGTAATAAATTAAATAAGTAAATGAATGAATAAGTAAATGAAAAATAAGTAAATAAGTAAATAAGAAATGAATAGATAATGAATGAATAAGAAATCAGTGAATGAGAATGAGTGAATGAATGAGAATAAGAAATAAGTAAGTAAATTAGAATGAGAAATGAGTGAGAATGAGAATGAGAAATGTATGAGAAATGAGTAAATAAGTAAATGAGTGAAATGAGTGAGTGAATAAGAAATGAGTGAATGAATGAAAATGAGAAATGAGTAAGAGAAATGAATGAATAAATAATAAAAATGAGTATACAGAATCAATATAATACATGATATTATTTATGAATACGTGATCAAAAAAAATGAGTCATCATTATATAACATTCTTGATTGGGTGACCTGACTCACAAATCTCATGCCAAAACCAGTGAACCGGCTAATCATACATGTATAATTTTTTGACAGTTAACCGGTTATATTTCTATATATAGTAATTTTTTAATTGCTTTACAAAAGTGAGTGTAAATCTATTAAAGGTCATGGGTTAAAAGCTCGATATTTCTTATCGTTCTCGTAATTCTTTACTCTGTGAAGTTCTTTTCCATTTTCTGCTGTTCTAGTTTAACACACTCTTTAATTCCTTCATCTGTTTTTAGGATATCCTAAAGGAGTTGTAGAACTGAAAGTGCAAGTATTCGGTTTCATAGATAGATCTGATAAAGTCAAATATTATTTGGTATTAATAGATTTGATCTAGCTTTTAATAATCACTATATATGTTTTGGTAATATATTCATTTTAATTTAAACACACTAAATATACTTTTTGATATTCTCATTAATTTATCTCGCTATAGTATACATAATTGTTAATAAAATCATTTCCTGACATTGTATTATTGTGTCCATTCACAAAAACATACTTGTATCACTATTCTAAGTGTTTGCATCGAGCCGCAATCAAGAAATCGTTTACTAAAAACAGCTGTGTCTGATCCAGTTGTGCTTCTAGCAACATATTTCCCGGCCACGATTGTTAACGAGTGGGTGCAAAACAAATTTGATTTAATAGAAATGAATTTTCCCGAGTGGCGCTTTATTTTACCTTACTACCTAATGAAATAATGGAGTTTAATCGAATGAGCCTGATCTAATGGTGATCAAAGGTTTAACAAACCGAACTGTCTTCGAGTTCAAGATCAGTAAGTCTGATTTCGAGCATTCATATTACAAGATGGATATACATTTTTATCCGGAAAGTTTTGAACTCCGAACGATCTTTGTAGTAATTACTTTAATTTATTATCGATGGGATAAACAAAATCAGTGCTTTAATGCAGCATCTATGAGTTCATGATAAAAATATTAAAAATATGCAACAATTTAATCAGTGTTCTAATAAATCTGCCTCTAAAAGTACTAATGTTTTGAAGATTTGCAAATCAGCTTGTGAATTCAACAGACCAGGCAGTAGCACAAAAAAGCTGGTGTCACGTGAAAGTTTCCGCAATTGTCGCTTTTTTAATTTTAATCATTGGCTGACGCTAATTTATTATTGATATTTTGGGTAACTAACCCATTGAGACAGCAGAAATAAAAGCATCGAGAGACTTGATGTTATCAAACATTGCTTTATACTTATAAATAGTATTTATTATTAGTGGTGTATAGGAAAATAATATATTTTTTTGGCTGGTCGGTTGTTTGGTTATTTGGCCGATTCTCTCCCTTCACTATGTCTTTTTGACAAAGGATTTCTGTCTTAAATCAATGGTAGATGTATGTTTAGATCTATTAAAACAACAGCTATAAAGCAAAAAATAAATAAATAAGTAAATCGGGCATTACTGGTATTTCTTTATTCCTGTTCTTTGTGCTTTCTCATAGATTTTGATAAACGTTAAATATAAACTTAAAGAAAGATACGAATTAATTAATTTGTCAGAGAAATAAAAATAACGGCATATATAAGATATAAAAGTAAAAAATGGCACATCACATATTCGGAGTAAAGAAAAAAAGTAAACCTCCCAAGCCTATACCAGAATTGACTTCGTCACAGCCATATGATCAAATTAGACCGCCACTGGTGAATTCTCCCAGTTTTCCACCACCTAATAATCCATCAAATAGCGGTTATCCTGGATATGCTTATTATCACGAAGGAGGTGGTGGTGGTGGTGGAGGAGGAGGAGGAGGACACCAACAACAATCTAATCCAAATCCTCCGCCAACACTTCAACATTCGCATTCTTTTGGACCATATCAACAACAAACATATCCACCACATCAACAAACATATCCGCCTCCATTTCAAACACCGTCACAAGTTCCTCCCCCTCTGCCACCACGACAACAATCACCTCCTATTTCGTCTGAATCACATAAAGAGTCTAATAAACATTCTTCCGGAGAATATACTCATCAATTTACGCAAGCTTATCCATTTCCTGATATTTCTAGTGCATCATCAACTTCGGGCACTGCATCTGTACGCTCTTCTGGACAATTTTCATTATCATTTTTTGGAAATGATCATCATATTGGCGGTAGTGGTAGCAATATTGGGAATGATAATTCAAGGGATAGAGGATTTCATTTACATTCGCATAATAGAAACAATGTCCCAGAAGTGCCTAAACCTTCGGACGAAGAAATTGAGGAAATGTTTTTGGAATTGATGGTAAATTTATTTTTTATGATTTTTTATTATTGATAATTATTAAATATCATTATAATATTTAGAATAAAAGGGATTTAAAAAAATTATCGGAAGTTCAAAGAAATCAAATGATGTCCATACCAACAGAAAAAAAATGGATTTTGGTAAAAAATGATATATTGGAGGATGAGGTTTGCAACTTTTTTATTGGTTGGCATTTAAGTTTTATATCGAATTAATACAATATATATATAATTTTCTCAGAGAAATCGACCTCAGATCGGATATTCCTTGGATAAAAACACGCCAGAATATTATTTAAGAAAAATTTTGGATGGTTCTGTTAATGTAAAACACATAGATTCACTGGCTGTCTCATTAAGAACCGCTGCCATAACGTATTTATCTTTTTATTTTAAGGAAAACAAAAGAGGATTTAAGATTAATATTTTATTTGATAATAATCCCTTTGTTCTTTAATAGATGGGTTAGATCATTTATTGATGCAAAAGGTCAAGAAGTTTTAGCAAATCACTTGAGCGGTATTACTCGTAAACCCATAAAGTAAATATCTTTTTTTTTTCTACTCATTTTGCTTGATTTTTTCGTATTAAATTTTAATAATATTTCTAAAAATAGACGAGAGGTTGATTTACAAATGGAATATGGAATCATCAAGTGCTTAAAATGCCTATTAAATAATAGGGTATGTTGTTTTTATTTGATTCACATTAGTATGTAATTGAATACTGATATAATATAATTTAAACAGTGGGGAGCTCAAGAAGCACTCACACATCCACAATGCATTTATAGTATAACATTTTCACTGGTATCACCACAATTGAACACACGAAAACTAGTCGCAGAAGTGTTATCATTTCTCTGTTATTGCGAAATACCAGTTGGACATAATTTAGTGTTGGCGGGATTTGATCAATTAAAGCAATTTCAAGCTGAGCATGGAAGATTTGACGCATGGATGCGTATGCTCGAGAACACAATCGATGGTCGTGGTAGAATGGGTAGTTTTGTGAATGCTAGTGAAGAATATCGGAAAGGTGGAATTGGAATTGATAGTTCATTGATGGAATATGCGGTATCTTATGATCATTACCTTGGTGCTTTTGCATATTTCTCTATATATAATGATCTTATCTTCGGATATTAATGCTCTTCAAATAGCTCTCTAATTTAATTTTGGTGAACTCTTTAATCGGAGTATGCGATGACGTAGAATTACGTGTACACTTAAGAAATCAACTTCACGCATGCGGTTTAACGAGGATCATTGATGTATGCATGATTATTCAACTGATTGATATTGATCGATAATCACTGATTTTTTATATTCATTAAAATTATCTTTTATAATGATTTTTTGCTTTGCTTAGAAAATGAAAACATTCAACTATGAACTTATTAATCGACAAATATTGAAATTCGAACGAGAAAGTGAGGCGGACTATGAAGAAGTAGTGGACTATTATAATCATCAAATTTTGCAAGATATGACATATCCTTTACTTGAATTCATGCCATTTCTAATCATTTGGATATATACGTATCTATACAGATATTTGATTCCTTAACATTTTCTATCTCCACTGATCCTCGTGATGTATTTCAGTGTATTTTGGCATCCGTTGAGGGTACAAGAGCATTTGATTTCTTCTTATCGGCTATGCAACATATGTTATTAATAAGGGATGACGGTGAAACAAGGTAAATAAAATATTATGGTGTATGCGGATTCCGAGAATTCATTTTATATTAACACCTGAATTATAATAAATAAGGACACGTTATTTTCAACTTATCGATGCTTTAATAACGCAAGTTGTGTTAGATCGACGTGGATTAGAACAAGACTTCACACACTCGGTTGGTATATCTGTTAGCCAAGTACTTGACAAGTTAGCGGATCAAGAGAAACTGCAAGCTGCGATCGATGAAGCCCGTGAAGCAAAATTGATAGCTGAAAAAGCATTAAAGGAGAAGAATGAATTACAGAAAGAGCTATCTAAAGGAACTGGTATATATCAGTAATAATAATAAAAAAAATTAAAGAATGGTTGAAATAACAAAATTTTTTTTAATAGACGGACTTGTAAGTGAACTCAAAGCAAAAGTGCTTTCACTCGAGGAGCTACTTCGGATTTCACGACATACCGTTCAAACATTACAATCACGTATTGCCGATCTCGAAGCGAGTTACCGTGAGAAACTTGCCGAGCAAACAATACAGATGCGTGAATTCGAAAATACATTAAAAGAGTTGAATCAAATTCATGGAGATTCCGTTGCTGGTGGTGACGCAGCAGGTGGTAATGGATTGAATCGACAAGAGATCATTAAAAAATTGGAGCGAATGGCAGAGATTGCTAAAACTCAGGCCACATTGGAAGGAAAGAATAAAGTTTGGACGCCACCAACATTTGGTGAATTGAAGGTGACCGCATTTACTAACTCTAAGTCGTTATTATAAAAAAATTAATTCTGAACCTTATGATTTATTTTTGCGTTTTTATTAGATGCCAGATCCAAGTGATTACTATAGAAGTAGTAATTCAACTGTTGACACTGGTTATGCTTCAAGTTTAAATTCTGTTATATTCCCACCTTCCATGTCGCAACCACAACCACAGTTACCACATTCACCAATTAATACATCAACGCAGTTCTCTTCCCCGCTTCAATTTACGCCATTTCCAAATGGCAGTAGTGATATTAATGTTAATAATAATAATAACGAAGGAAACATACCTTCCATTTCGCAACCTCAACCTCCGACAAATTTCAATAATAATTCACCGTTTACTTATGGGTTCCGTATTCCTCCATCAAATCCAGGACATAACATTTTAGATGATTATTATGGAAAAGATGGTAGTATAAAGGAAGATTCAGCTACACAAAAAGAAAAAATAGACTCTATTAAGATAGACACTAATATTATGACAGATAATAAAATAGAAAATGGTCAAAATCCGCCTATTACTTCATCAACCAGCAATATAACAAAAGTTTCATCATCAACCTCACCTATAATTGAATCTCAACCGCCAATGGAAAATGAAAGTAATATTCCACCCCCACCCCCACCTCCCGCAGTGGGAAGTGACAATATTATTCCACCGCCCCCACCACCTCCTCCCGTAATGGGAAGTGATGGTAATATTCCACCACCACCACCACCTCCGCCCGTGACAGAAAGTAATATTCCTCCACCACCACCTCCGCCCGGGACAGGTAATATTCCTCCGCCGCCACCCCCACCACCAAATATGGCAGGAGGTGTTCCACCACCACCACCCCCACCACCAAATATGGCAGGAGGTCCGCCGCCGCCGCCGCCTCCTCCAGGAATTCCAGGCGCGCCTCCAGGGCCACCAGGACCACCTCCACCGCCTGGTAGCTTCGTTCCTGCAGCCCCTGGTGGAAACAACCGTAAAGAAATTCCAATATCAGCAAAAAAGAAACTAAAGCAACTTCAATGGGAAAAGATTAATCAATTCTCCATTAATAAAACGATTTGGGGACGGACCAACATGACTGATGAAGAATTGCTGATGTTACTTGGAGGTCAAGATGATGTATTCGTTACGATCGAAGAATTATTTGCTGCTCGACAAGTTGCACCGAAAAGTAATTTTTTAACATTAGTTTTATAATTTATCGAACTTCACTATTAAATTCTTTTTGACGTTTATAGGGAAAAAAGTTGAAAAGAAAGAGGAGATAAGTGTGTTGGATTCTAAACGTGCTTATAATATAAGTATGTATTTGAAATTATTTATTTTTAAATCATAAATTCCTATATTTTATAAATGACGTAGAATTATTTTTAAAAAGATGTCGTGCTTGGTCGTTACAAACAAATGCCATTCTCGGAAATGCACCGTAAAATTGTGCAAATGGACGAATTATTTTGTACAGAGAATCTATTAAATCAATTTATGCAATATACACCTACTCCTGATGAGGTTTGGTTGTTTCTACTTACTTGTTCAATTGGTTTTTTTGAGTATATTTTAATCATAATTCATCACGATTAATAAAGAGGGGTAAACTGATGGTGTACAAAGATAGCCCAGAGGATGTCCTTGAAAACTTGGCAAGACCTGATCGATTTTTCGTCGAGGTTTGTTTTATTAATGGAAAAGTTCATTATTTTTCTTTTGCATTTATTTGATTTCTTATTTTTATTTATTTTATAATCTAGGTAATGCAAATACATCGATACGAACAACGTCTAAAGTTTATGCATTTTCATATAACTTTTGATGAAAAGTTTAATGATCTTGAACAGGTAATTATTTTAATCATCACATTTAAATTTAAGAAATAAATTTATTAATTTTTTGAATTATAGAGCGTTGTTGCAGTATTAAACGCGTCAATAGATTTAAAAGATGCCAAGTATTTCCGTGAATTGCTGGATGTAAGTCTTATAATAACATTTATTTCTTGTAGAATGATGATTTATTAATAACGTTTTACTTTTAGCTGATATTGTTACTCGGCAACTATATGAATGGATCGACGATAAAAGGTGGTGCATTTGGTTTCAAGATTGCAAGTATAAATAAGGTAAAATATTTGATTTTTTGGTAATCAACTTATTTCAAATTAAGTTCCTCGATTAATATTCAATTTTAATAATAATCTTTTTTTCGCTTAAAAGTTGGTTGATACAAAAGCTTCTACTAGTTCCTCGATGACATTATTACATTTTCTTGCGAATACAGTGGAAAGCAAAATTCCAGATGCTATCCAGTTCACAGAAGAATTAAAAAATTGTGGAAGCGCTTGTCGAGGTTAATTTCCCTTCTATGCTTATGAAAGTTGTATTATTTAAATAAATCCCAATTAACAAAAAAAAAATAAATAAATTTATAAAAATTTAGTATCACAACAAGAAGTAACAGCCGAGTACCGACAAATGGGTACGAAATTAAATGATCTCGCCTTAGAGCTCGAAAAGCATTTTGGCGAAGGTGTGGAATTAGAGGAAGGCGATCGATTCCCAGAAATTATGCGATCATTTGTACACAAATCTTTGAAAAAATTCGAAGAACTCCAAGTTAAATATACTTCAATGGAGGTTGCGTATAAAGATGTAGTGGCATATTATGGTGAAGATCCAAGTTCCACAAAACCGGATGAATTCTTTGGAATTTTCAAAACATTTGTTGCATCTTTCGAGGTTTGAATATATTATAATGTTTCTGTTATTAATTTATCGTTTTTGGCTGAAATCATCTTTCTTTTGGATTAGCGAGCAAGAAATGATAATAAAGCACAAAGGGAGCGTGAATTGGCCAATCAAAAGAGAATGGAGGTAACTAAAAATTCGAAATTATTTTTTAAATATTAAAAATTTAATATTAATAAAACAATTAATCTTCCCAATATAAAAAGGAAATTGCCGCACGTATTAAGAAAGAAAAGCCTCAAAACCCAGAAGTTAAAATTAGTGAACAACAGGATGAGACTGATAAACATATAATGGACAATTTACTTGAAACATTACGTAATGGTCGTGATCTTGATACTACACCTAATCGAAGACAACGTGGTACTCCACGGGATCGAAGAGTTGCCCGAAGTATGTCGGTTGTGTTACGTGCAGAAAACATCTTGAATAGTTTAAAGGATGATGCTCCACCTCTTCCAAAAATTCCGGAAAATTTTCAATCTCAAATTACCGCCGAATAATTAATCAATGAAAAAAAGGGAATAAAGGAGAAATGCAACGGGGCAACCATTCTTTTTATGGGTTAATTTTCTTGTATTCTGTAAATTATTATTTGTTATTTATTATATACATTTTTGGGCATAAGATTTTTTAATAATATTAGTCTATTGTTATTAGTAATTAACCAATTCATAAATATATGAAAATTTTAGCATCCTTAATTGTACAGATTTATTTATTTTATTTGCATTCTTTATTGTCTGAAAACAATAAAATAATAAATTCAAAAAAGTTGCGTCATATAATTTGTTCGAGATCTAATTTGATTTGAATTGATTCTATAAAGCACGTTTAGTCACATCCAAATAAATATAATCAATTTTAAAAGAATAGAATTAAAAATTCTATATAATTTAAAAAATTCTATTAATTTAAAGAGCTTAATTTCTAATAAAGTTAGATTTTGAAAAATAATAATAGATTATAAGTTATATAGATTTGAAATTTCTTATTAAGAAGTTTAAAATTTTAGTATTTAAATTCTATCAGAATTATAAATATTTTTAGGCTGGTAAATTTTGATCAAAATTATACTTATATTAAATCAATATTAAAAACTTTTATTTGAAAATTAGAATTTTTTCTTTTGTATTTATTATAAATTTATATTTTATTAAATAAAATTAATAGCTAAAAATTTTAATATTCATATAATAGTTAATTTAACTAGATTATTTATACTTATATATAAAATAAATTTCTTGTATAGTTAATTATGTAATTAATTTTTAGTATATTCTATAATAATTTTAAATTATTTATAAACTCAAAATAATAGTTAAGATAATAAACAAAATTATATATCAAACTATAATTTAAATATTTTTAATTAGTAATTCAAGATAAATTTAGATATTTATTTTTTATTTTAAATCATTTTATTAAATTTGATTATATTTTTATTTAATAAATTATATATTTATAAAATCTAATCGTAAAATACTTAATTTAGATTTTATAAATATTTGAATAATTTTTTTAATATAAGAATTAATTATTTTATATATATATAGATATAATTTTTGAGATTATATATTAATTATTATTATAATATATTTTAATAAATTTGAATTATTATAAAAAATTTTTTTTTCTAATTAAATTAGCTTTTTATAATATATAATTAGATCTTTTTATAGTTATTATACTTGAAAAAATAAAAATTAAATAATTAAAAAAAAGATAGAATTATTAAGAGATTTTTTTAATTATAATTAACTAATAATTAAAAAACTTAAAAAAATAATTATAAAAATTATTTAATAAAATAATAAATTTAATTTTAATTAATTATATTATAAATATTTTTTATAATATAAATTTATAAATTAATAGATTTATAATATTTTATTACAAAAAAAATTTATAAAAATCTTGAAAAATTATATGATTTAATATTATAATATATAATTTATTTATTTATTATTATCAATTATTATATTATATATAATATATAGTAACTATTAAAAGTAATACAATGCTTAAATTTTTTACTAATTATAATTAGTAAAATATATAATTTTTCTTACATATAAAAGTTTTTAATTTTACTAACAA